TCATAATCGTAAATTGTTTATTTGCTGATTGCAATCAATAAATGTTGTATGTCACTTGTTGGACTTGACCAGAAAACGACAGAGGAAATAAATAAAAAATTGTATTGGTAAATGAAAAATTGTATAAAAATTAATGTTTTACGTGAATAATATTTATATATTGTAAATATATTAATATAAATTTGTACAGAAAAAATATTTTCTTACCAAACGATTCTTTGATTCCTTCCTAACATTTTCTATCAGGACTTTCTTTCCCCGAATAAAAATCGCTTATTAAATATAACTTACAACGGTTTGTATAAGCGAAGTTTGAAACTTTAAAGTTTCCAAGTATTTTTATTTTGTGAAAACGACACAGCTTGGATGAAACTACAGCTGGATGTGTTTTTAAAACGAATTTAATATTGCGAATTCGAAAGAAAAAACTCATGGTGAAGCACGTAGAAGGATTTATGCGTCGTACGTGAAAAATCTATGAAATTTAGGAAATTTAAAAATTGAATATTTTTAGAACTAAAAAGGATAATTTGATGATTCAAAAAGTTGGTTATGGAACATTTTTAATTTGCCATCGATCTGTCGTACTCCTGATTTGCTGGTTTAACTCCTGGTTTGCTTATATAAAATCAACATCAACTTAAATCTTTTACAAACAGATGTTTTTTCATTAAAATGCAGTTTTGTACAAATCCGACGCTTGCACTAGAAGTTTCTTACTAAAGTTCAAAGTTGCATTAACGCACCTTGCAGGAATTATGTAGTTTGTTCATATAATCCTAGATAACTCAAACTGCATCAGGAATTCAAACAAAATGCGACTTGTATATTATAATCTATACATCAATACATGTCTGAAGCAATTTTCACGATTTCACCTATATCCGTTTTTCTAATATATAATTTTAAAAGCGCATAATTTTCACGCTTTTTATTTTTCCCCAAAAGCCCTTAAAATTGTACAAAAATCCAAGAACTTAAATATGCAATATCTCGAGAATTAAAGCAGATATTGCAGTAATTCAAAAAGTTGTTCTTACAACAATGTTCATGAGCCTTCGATTGGTTCTACTCAAAATTTGTTGTTATAACTCTAGCACTAAGTACCAATTTAAATTATGAGTCCTTGGTAAGAAGGGACCAAGTATTGAACTTTGTGGAACTCTAGGTTCAATGCTGCTATAGAAATTCTGTGATATCTTGAGTTTTCTGTGATATATTTTAGTTATTCAAAAAATTGTTCTTACAACAATTTTCATAAGCCTTCGATTGATTCTATTTCAAATTTGTTGTTATGACTCTAGCACTATGTACCAATTTAAATTATGAGTCCTTGCAGGAATTTTATATTTTGTTCAGATAATCCTAGATAACTCGAACTGCATCAGGAATTTAAACAAATTGCAACTTGTATATTATAATCTATACATCAGTACATGCCTTCAATGATTTTCACGTTTGTATATGCATCCATGTCTTTTGCGCATAATTTTAAAAACGCACAATTTTTACGTTCTTATCTTTTTTTTCATGAAGCCCTAAAAAATGTAAAAAAATCCAAGAACCTAAAAATGCAATATCTCGGGAACCAAAGCAGATATTTCAGTAATTCAAAAAGTTGTTGTTACAACAATTTTCATAAGCCTTCGATTGGTTCTACTCAAAATTTGCTGTTATTACTCTAGCACTAAGTACCGATTTAAATTATGAGTCCTGAAGAGCTCAGTACTTGCACAGTAGCATATATGAAAGTAATAAATTTTGCAAAAGTGTTAATTAAGTAGATTTATGACTTTTATAAAGATTACTTGTTAACCGTGACATAGATAATTAGATAAATTGGATGAGATCATCTTTTGATGCATATGAAGATTGTTTTATGACTACAGTATTTTAGTAATTAAATTTTTTTTTTGAGGTATGCCAGTAAAATGTTCAGAAACCTTCAAAACGTCGAGAAATGCAAAAATTCTCATTTTCGATTTTCAGCCCATTACTATAACTACCCTACAGGAAGTTAAAAATATTCTTCTATTCCGCAAAATATTCTATACATCTGTTAAATTTAATTGTGATTGCTTCCTACCTGCGTGAACAAAATCGTTCTATTATTATTATTATTATTATTCAATACGTTTTGTTTTGTTAATTTATAATTGTCGTCATCATCAGAGATGCAGAAATGGACATGCAATGACAATGGCAATGTCTATTCTATCTTTTGTTCTGCATTTGCAAATTTTTCTCTATTCTGCACGAAATCCACTTATTGCGAATATGAAATTGGTCTGTTATTATCGATAGTAGGAGAGTCGGTGAAAAATTTGTAAGAAAAGATAATAGATATGTCTAAAGTTCAGTTAGGTAGTGAAAATATAATTTTTACTAGTAAGATATTTTGTATTAAATCATAAATCAATTTATCTCCAGAACATTAACAATCGTCATTTCATTTAGAATTCAATTTTAAAAAAATTGAAAGTTGCCTAATTTACACAAAATTGAAAATGTGCTCTCGCATAGTCACAGTCTAAAAGCATTTGCAAATAATTCTGTGCGACATTTTCACTTACACTGTGCTTAGCTTGGCGGCATTTTCACATTTTTCACTGATTTTCACAAAATTGGAAAAGTGGTCCATTACATAAACAGTCTAAATGCACTTGGGTAAACATTTGTACCAGAGTGGCGCTTAGACTGTGCTTAGCCTGGGTAATTTTTTTAACTTTTAATCCAAAATTACAAAAATATTTTATTGACGAAACGAATACTTTTGGGGAAAGATTTTTGTTTTTTTTTATTTTAAGATGTCTTTTAGTTTACCTGCCTGTCCACCTATTTACCTGTCTACCTGTTTATCTAAAAATAAAATTTATTTATTTATTAAATTAAATTTTAATATGATATATTATATTTAACTGATTTTCTAAAATGATTATTATATTAATGAGGGTGAAAATTTAAGATTTTATGAATTTCAAAAATCTTGATTATAAAATAAAATAAAATATTGCATAAAACTAGTGGGGCGCATGGCATCGTGCCTTGAGGTAAATTACTAGAACTTCTGTACCAAAAATTATTTTTTTTTAAAAAATTAACATTTTTGGAAAAATTTTACTTTGAAAAAATTAGATTTTTGGGGAACTAAAAATATTTGACAAAAATTTACTTTTTTGAAAAAAAGTGTTTTCTTTCTTTTGAAATATCTTGTAAATTCTGAACTTTTTTTCAAAGCAATCTTGCTGTTTTAACTGCATAGAGACGATATATCAAAGCGCGTAAGCGCCGCGTCGCCGTCTAACGGATAAACGTTGGTACGGAACCCATAGGAATGTTAACAAAATATACTTATTGTTAAAATCTCTATAAAATATCTGATAATTTGATGTGCATATGTCTAATGATCATTTTTGACCGCCAAATGGCATTTTTTTTACTTTTTTTACTAGATCTCCGAAACCGCTAGACCTGCCTTCATGAAAATTTGAATTTGAAGAATTTGAAATTTTTTTGAATAATTGAAATCGGACGCTTCATTCTTTTGAAAACTGAGTTACCGTTGTTGGCACTTTTTGCCTCATATCTTCGGAACGGCCAGACCTGCCTTTGCCAAAAACTAATCAGCACGTCTCCTTATCAATACGAATCGAATGTTTTTTGAATTATCCAAGTCGCTTTATCCGTGCTCCCGAAATCGTCGACGAAAATTTGTATCCGCACACACACACATACATTCATTTTTTCTAAGGTATACCAAAATGTTCAGAAGGTTTTGAAACGTAAAGATAACTAAAAATTTTCATTAGCAATTTTATTGCGATTACTATAAATTACCCTACGGGAAGTTATTAAATGATTACCCGAAATGGTTATTACAAATTAGTGATTTCTGGTAGGAGAGTGAAAATGTAAGATATCTTTTGACTATTATACTTTCCCCCAGCCCTACGTCTATTTTTCTAGCAATTTATCGCTTTTGAGAGCTGTGTAATTCATCTTCAACGACCTATGGTTACATAAAGAGCAATTTTAAAGAAGGGAAAAATCGAGTTTTTTCCGCAACATCGGAATGCAATTTGCTGACTATGTCGCAAAAAATATGCAATTTTTTACTATTGTAAAATACACTCTTGAAAGTGAATTGGGTTTTAGAAAAATGTCAAATATTTTGATTCATGGCGAAAGGACTAAAATGTACGCCGAATTGTATGATGTAATCTACTTGAAAAAGTTCTTAGTGAACGAGTTAAAACAGCAAATTTTGAGTCTCGATGGGTCACAAAAAATGTTATATGATGAACTTTTTGAATTGTTTAAAAATCTTCAATAGTTCCCGAGATATTGCATTTTAGCATTTTTGAAATTTGAGAAATTTTAAGGAATCAAAATTTAAGGGGACAAAAATGTTGAAATTTCGGGCGTGTTACAAATTAACTACAAGTCACAAAAATGCAATTTTTATGGTTTTACTTTAATATTATGACATATACTCAAATATCCAATTTTTTATATATCATTTTACATAATGAGTTATTAAAATTTATTTGACAAAGGTACATAATTTCTTGTTATTCAAGTTCATTTTCCACTCACATATAATTCAGCTTCTAATTTTCGAAAGTTTTTAGTGAACGAGTTAAAACAGCAAATTTTGAGTATGATCAATCGATGGGTCACGAAAAATGTTATATGATGAATTTTTTGAATTGTTAAAAAATCTTCAATAGTTCTCGAGATATTGCATTGTAGCATTTTTGAAATTTGATAAATTTTAAGGATTCAAACTTTAAGGGGACAAAAATGCTGAAATTTCGAGCATGTTACAAATTAACTCAAAATCACAAAAATCCAACAACTTACAATTTTAATGGTTTTACTTATACTTTAATATCATGTCTATATACGCAAATATCCAATTTATTATTTATCATTTTACATAATGAGTTATTAAAATTTTTTTGATCAAGGTACATAATTTCTTGTTATTCAAGTTTTACTCATTTTCCACTAACATATAATTCAGCTTCTAATTTTTTCAAATTTTTTTCATGTACAGCAATAGATGTTGATTTCACAACTAGCATGCAAAAAATTGTAATAACTGAAAAAAATAATACATATAATAATAAATTTGTAAATACATATAAAAATAAATAATACATAATAATAATAAATTGTGGAAAATAAAATCGCCTAAAGTGCATTCTATGCAACATGCATGTGTGCATTACAAAATCTTCAGGAGAAAAATCTAAATAATATCTAAAAAGAATTTTTTTTATAAACCACGAGAAATAGTATAATTAATTTTAATATTGATGAAATTAAATAAAAATTATAAATATTTTTAATTCAAAATTTAATAACTTACCACCTTCTGTTATTAAAACAAAAATGTACATCAAAGAAGTTGCATACTCTTTTTCTTGGTAGGTTTTTCTAGCTTTTGACTGAAAAAAATAATAAATTAATAAAATTATAAATAAATTAATAAAATTATAAATAAATTCACAATTTAGTCAAAAAATGAAGATAATTTCTGCCAATAAATTTAAAGTTATAAATTATTTCATAAACAATTGAGTCTTGAAATGCAGATTTGGGATGGAACGTTTTCTAAATATGTTTTATAAGTATACCGAGTTGTTGTAGAGACTTATAATATTAGACAATATTATAGACTATTAAATTTTGAACAAATTTCTCAAATATATCATTCACATTAATCAAATGGTTTTGAAGTTATAGTAAATATACTGAAGTAATGCACTTTAAGAGAAAAACAAGGTATCAGGATTCTAGTTTGATATTTAATATTTTATTTAGACTATACCGAGATGTTGTAGGGACTTATGATGTTAGACAATATTTTAGGTTATTCAATTTTCAACAAATTTGCTAAATATTATATAAGTATTAAACCAATGGTTTAAAAGTTACAAGAGATATATTAAATAAATGCATGGACGTTTTGTATTTAAATGTGTAGTCAGGCGTATATGATGTCTGTAGTAATTTACAAATCTATTAAAATTATAATAAATCTAATGATATTATTGTGCAATTTATGAATAAATATATTTGTAATAATAATTGACTTTATACAGAACCAAAATTTATCAAAATATATTCACAAAATTGTTTATTTATTTAAAAGCCAAATACTATGCTAAAGGATCAGTTTATTCAGTAGATTTATATATTTAATTTTTTTTCAATTTTATATTTAATGAAAATTTATTTTGATTTCTTGTAAGTTTTATTTAATATTAATTTGTGATTCAATGAGATCAAATTTTGAATAAGTAAAAATTATTTTTGAAACATTAAAAATTAATAATAGATGTATAAATTTACCTCGTAAAAGTGTCCAAATTGTAAAACTTTCAAAATTATATAAGTGCAATATACTTCTAACAATCTGTATTTATTCTGCAAAAAAAATTAATGATAATAATTATACATATATATATATGTATATATATATATATATATATATATATATATTTATTAATAATGTGATTATTTACCTTAGACAATCCATACAAGAAAAATGAATTAAAAATCATTGTAACTCCAATTATTGCAGTTGTGTATACTAAGTGGATATAAGGAGCTGAAATGAATAAATAAAATTATTTATATATATATATATATACAAAATAAAATTAAATAATCTAAGATATTGTCTAACAACATAGGTCCAACTATGTAACAACTGGATTCGATTGAATTTTGAGAGTTAAAAGAGCTTTCTTTATTATATCTCTTGTAACTTTTAAACAAATTGTCCAATCAAAACAAAATATTCTGCAAACTTGTTTAGAATTTAACAATCCATAATTTTGCCTAATATCATAAAGCTCTAAAGCAACTCGGTGTACTTTAAAATTGCTCCCAAAATAGAACCTATACACTATTGTTTAACTACCTCAAATGTAAGTTAACTCTACGTTGTTTATTGCACATCTTGTAACTTTTAAACGGTTTGTCTGATATTTATGAATTGTTTTGAGAGTTTTTAAAGAATTAAATTATCTATAATTTTGTCTAATATTATAAGCCTCTACAGCAACTCGGTATACTTTAAAATTGCGACAGAAAATACAGAAGTCATATACACATCAGTTATATTTATCATCTTCCACAGTTGAACCTAATTATCTATTATTTATCTTTGCGCAACTGTTTGTTTATCTTTATATATATATATATATATATATATATATATATATATATCCTTAATTGAATCTATTTTATTTTATTCCATTTAAAGAAAAATACAAATAGAAATTGTACTCACTATTATCATAGGATTCCCAGTGTATAAACATTGGCTTCAAACAGGCTGTTAGCTGAACAAATATAAATATACAGGTATATATATACATATATATATATATATATATATATATATATATATACATATATTTATATATTTATATACACCTACCAAATCAAAAGCAGCAATTATATAACACCCAGTATAAAGGCTCATACAACCAAAAAAAGTGTGCATTTGGAACAACATTGTTAATAATAATTATTATAAACAATTTTTATTAATAAATAATTATTTATATACGTGAAATTGACATTACACTATTGAAATAATATAATGAATTAATCATACATGCATTTGTTTTTAATTTATACTAGGCGTACTAGATTTGTATCATATTATGGTAGAAGTTTTTGGTGAAAGAGTTAAACCAGCAAGTTTTGAGTAATGCCATTCGACGGGTTAGGAAAAATTTTATAAGAACGAGTTTTTGAATTATGAAAAAAATTGCAGTAGTTTTTGAATTATTGCATTTTTAAATTTTCAGAAATCATGAGTTTTGTTGGCATAAAAAAGAAATTTTTGAGTTATTTGACAAAAACCAAAAAAATGTCCCAAATTATCTATTTATTGCTAAAGAATGAAATATCATCGAATTAACTAATTCTCATTTTTGAATTATCTAGTTATCTGCAATAGTTTTTGAGTTATTACATTTTTCAATATACAAAAATTTATAGATCTGGATAAAAAAACTCATACAAAAAAATAGGATTTGAAAAAATATTTTTTTTTTGCATTTTAAAATATGTTGTACCATTTTTTTTTCATATATTTTAGATATATTATACATTATTTTATTTGTTCACAATTTATTAAGTTTTATTTAGTACTAAGTTTATTTTTAATCCAATTCCAAGCTCCTGGTGGTTTTTTATAATCTTTATTTTCACATTTTCTTATATTTTTTTGAGGGGCAAAAGTTATTGTTAATGTTGACATTTTATAATTATTTGCCCATTTTTTTAAACATTTTGGAGCATCTGGGAACAATTTCTGCAAAATAAATCAAATTAATACATTTCACTTTAATTTAAATATAATTATCATTATATATTTACTTTGAATCGTTTATGTTCGATTTTTTCCAAAAATTCTGGTTTTGGTATTTCTTTTTCAAAAACTCCTGGAATCATAAAACTAAATCCTACAAGTTCTTTATTTTTCACCAAAAGTACTATTGGCATATTTTGGGCAATATTGCAATAATCGGTTTTGTTATATAAATAATGAGTTCCTGAAAAAATAAATTTATTTGAAAATTAACTCAAATCTTATTATATAAATAAATTGAAACTTTATCGCAAAATAGCTTAAGGCTTAGAATTATTTGAATTAAATTAATACTCTGTTTGATATTTTTTCATTTATTTATTTATTCATTTGTCAATTAATTTATTTACCTTTTCTGGTCTCACAATTTTGCTTAAACCATCCATTTCCTCCTAATTTTTCCTCAGAAGTTGGAACATCTAAATTTTCTTTAGAATTTTTTTGATTTATTACTCTAAAACTGTCTCCAATGGAATCAACTGGCATTCCTCTTCCAGGATCTTTAATATGATCTAAAAATAAAAAATAGATTTAAGCACAAATTTACCAAATTTAAATTGTTTATAATAAAATAGAAACAAATATCAAGCCCAAAAATATCCTAAGTAGTTCTCCTTAAACAAATGTAAATTCTCATAACTAGCCTGGATGTTCATATTTTTTATATGAAATTTTGTCTATAAATTTATTTTATTAATATATTTTGTTTATAACAATATATTTTAAATAATTTACCTTCATTAGCAACATATATCTCCAAGGAATAATAAGTTTTATTATTTATTTTTTGATTTTTGAACCAAGGATTGTTGTAAAATTGATTCAAGTTGACATACAAATTATCTGTTGCCTGTATCTGTAATAAATAAATAAATAAATAAACAGATAATTAGGTAAATAAACAAATTACTGAATAAACGAATGAATGAATAAATAAATAAATTAATTAATTAATAATGGTGCACATATTTTTTTTCTTACCGATATTAAAAATCCAACAATTCTTTCATTAGTATCATGTAAAGTGCATAAAGTTTTGTCTTTGCCTTCTTCAGGGCAAAAAGCTTTAACATTTTCAGGCAATTTAAAATCAGAAATTTTTTTCCAACCTTTTATTTGAGCTTTTTGCCCAGTTTTTGGCAAATAATCCAAACTTGCATATGGGTATTTAAATACTGAAAAATAATAATAATCAACTTTAGTAACAATAGATTTAAAACTTAATTTAAAAAAAAAAAACGAATATGGTGTACCTCAAGGAACAGTTGTAGGACCACTATTATATTTATTATATAAAAACTATTAAAAAATACTCTAAATTTTAACAATTTAGGGAAGTCAATATTATAAACTATTTGTAAAAATATTACTAGTAATAATATGAATAGATAAGTATAAATTTGTATTTTTTTATTATAAAAAATTATATTTACCCATTGGTTCAGTCCAACTCTGCACTAGCTTATTGAAATCTGAAAACAAATTTTAATTTAAAAGTTGTTAACATTTTTAATATCAAAAATAGAATGTATAAACAATTTTTCTTAAATAATTACATGCATAAACAGCATTTGCACTAAAAAGCACCAAAACCCAATAAATTTTGCACAAAATCATATTTTCAACACTTTTGCACTAAAAAGCATACCACAAAACTAAATTAATATATATTACTATCAATATTTATTATCAAATTCGCAGAAATATTACCAAATATCAATTTTTGCACAAATATTTATCCAATAATATTTATTTCTCGATAATATTTACATAAGAAGGAACACCTGTACAAATATTGTCTTGGTGAGAATCAGGAAATATTTTACAAGAAGCAAATTAAATATAAAAAATTGTTTTGTAATTTAAAAATTTGGAAAATAAATATTTGTATGTTTATTTTATAACGACGGTTATGGAAAATTAAATAAACGTCATGGTATTTACCAGTATTTTGTACTTAAAGGTAATTGTTTGCAAGGATCTTAGTGCTAGAGTTAAACCAGCAAATTGTACAACCATTTGACGGATTTTAGATAATGTAGTTGGAACTGGTTTTTGAATTATCTAAATATCTTATCTGATTCACGAGATATTGCATTTTGAAATTTCAAGATTTTTATAGTTCTTGACTGTTGTACGTAAGGAATTTTATTGAAAAATTGTTGCAAGTTCAAAAATTTTCAAAGCGCCACAAAAGAGTATTTAGTAAAAATTTAATACTACAAAGTATGTATTAGCATATTTACTATGAGACTAAATTTTAAAATTTAAAAAAATATATCTATTTTATGAGTTATTAAATATTATCTGAGCAAAGTACATATTTAGAGCCAGCAGCGTAAGAGAAAACTTGCAATTTAGTATAAATCTCTTAGTAAAGGACTATTTGTTATTTTGGATATTAATTAATTAAATTACTTTTTATTTAAGAAAATCAATTGAAATATATATATATATATATATATATATATATATATATATATATATATACTCGTATATATATATAAAGTGTGGGTTTTCTACAAAGGCGATAATTATCAATTAAAATTAATTAAATTGAATCAATTATTTAATTGAACTTACTTGAACTTTTGTGAACATTTTATGGACTGAATAGACTTTTGTAAATTTATAAATATTTTACATCATAGAGCAATATTTATTTATATTTATATTTACGTATATTTGAAATAATTTAAATTTGTGGTCACAATTAAATGTTTTGTTAGAAATTGGTAAAATTTAAGTCAAATTTATACTGAAATAAAAATATTCTTAGTGAAGGAGTTAAAACAGCAAATCGAGAATATGCTCATTGAATGGCTTTCAAAAAGTGTAATTAGAAAGACTTTTTAAATCATTAAATTATCTCGAAACGTTTCCGAGATATTGCTTTTTAAAGTTTTACAATTTTGCTAAACTTTTATAGACAATTTAGTCGGGAGTATTAAAAATTATTAAGGATAAAATAAAGTTCGGCTTGTAAGGAAAACTTTGTAAATTATATATATATATATATATATATATACCTATATATATATATATATATACATATACCTATATATCTTTTCCATCCCTGTTCCAGACAAAAGCCAATTTAGCAAAATTAATTTCGTGCCAAATTTTAAATAAATTGGCCAATTAAGACATAATTAATGAGTCAGAAAGCGAGAACTCTCTTTTAGATGTCTGCAAATGATATTTAAAACAAAGATAATAAAACACAGACCTTTTAGAAAATAAATAGACCGATAAATTAGGGAAAATACACACCTGGTTCCGTAAGAAATAAGAAATTAATAGTTGTAGTAATATTATTATGACAATATATTATTTGTACGATATAGCCTGTAACTTTTGACAGGATTGTCCAAAATTAATCAAATATTCGGCAAATTTATTCAAAATTGAATTATCTACAACATTTTCTAATATTTAAACATCCTACAACAACTCGATGTACTTGAAAAATGTGCTTGAATATAGTATTGCAAATAATCCCATTTAGTAACAATTTATTGGTGTGGTGATTCATTATATCTCTTATAACTTTTGAACGGCTTGTTTAAAATTGACCAAATATTCGGCAAATTTATTCAAAATTGAATTATCTACAACATTTTCTAACATCACATTGCTCTACAGCAATTCTGTATACTTTAAAATTGTGATTGAAAATAGTGTTACAAATAATCGAATTTAGTAACAATTTATTGGTGTGGTGATTTATTATATCACTTGTAACTTTTTAATGGCTTTTCTAAAATTGACCAAATATATGGCAAATTTATTCAAAATTGAATTATCTACAACATTTTCTAACATCACATTGCTATACAGCAACTCTGTATACTTTAAAATTGCGATTGATAATAGCATTTGTTTAAAACTAATTAGTGGATTTATTTAGTAACAATTTATTGGTGTGGTGATTTATTCCATCTCTTGTAACTTTTGAACAGTTTGTCCAAAATTGACCAAATATTCGGCAAGTTTATTCAAAATTAAATAATCTACAACGTTATCTAACATCACATTGCTCTACATCAACTCTGTGTACTTTAAAATTGTGCTTGAAAATAGTGTTGCGAATAATCGCATTTACTAACAATTTGTTGGTATGGTGATTTATTATATTTCTTGTAACTTTTGAACGGTTTGTCCAAAATTAATCAAATATTCGGCGAATTTATTCAAAATTAAATAATCTACAACATTTTCTTGCATTTGAACATCCTACAACAACTCCGTGTTCTTGAAAAATGTGCTTAAAAATAGTGTTGCAAATTATTGCATTTAGTAACAATTTAATGGTGTGGTGATTTATTAAATCTCTTATAACTTTTGAACGGCTTTTCTAAAATTGACCAAATATTCGGCAAATTTATTCAAAATTGAATTATCTACAACATTTTCTAACATCACATTGCTCTACAGCAACTCTACGTACTTTAAAATTGTGCTTGAATATAGTGTTGCAAATAATTACATTTAGTAACAATTTATTGGTGTGGTGATTTATTATATTTCTTATAACTTTTGAACGGCTTTTCCAAAATTAATCAAATATTCGGCAAATTTATTCAAAATTGAATTATCTACAACATTTTCTAACATCACATTGCTCTACAGGAATTCTATATACTTTAAAATTGTGTTTGAAAATAGTGTAGCAAATAATCGCATTTAGTAACAATTTATTGGTGTGGTGATTTATTCTATCACTTATAACTTTTGAACGGCTTTTCCAAAATTGACCAAATATTCGGCAAATTTATTCAAAATTGAATTATCTACAACATTTTCTAACATCACATTGCTCTACAGCAATTCTGTATACTTTAAAATTGTGGTTAAAAATAATGTTGTTGACAATAGCATTTGTTTAAAACTTATTGGTGCACTTATTTATTCCATCTCTTGTAACTTTTGAACGTGTGGTGATTTATTATATTTCTTATAACTTTTGAATGGCTTGTTTAAAATTGACCAAATATTCGGCAAATTTGTTCAAAATTGAATTATCTACAACATTTTCTAATATCGCAACTTCCTACAGCAACTCGCTATACTCTAAATCTGTGATTAAAGTGCTCTGAATAATGTTATTAACTTATGGATGCATTTATTTATTGTATCTCTTATAACTTTTGATAGGTTTGTCCAAAATTAATCAAATATTTGGCAAATTTGTTCAAAATTAAATAATCTACAACATTGTCTAACGCCATAAGACCCTACAGCAACTCGGTATGCTCTAAAATCGCCCTAGAAAACTCGAGGCTTTTTTTATATTTTTTTACCCTGAAGAATTCCAAAATTCCTGCACCCGAAACGTGCGCACTATTGTTTAGTTAGTTTTAGTTGAAATTTGTTTGGGTAATAAAAAGCATATGCGGACGCCAACGTTGTCGGCTAAAGTAAATATTTACTGTTTTAGTTTCGGTAAAGTAAAGTTTGTCTATTTAGAATATTTTGGAGCTCACTTATTTATTTATTATTCGAAGTTAAGAGGTCATAGGCATTGTAATAAATTTATAAATATATATATATATATATATATATATTTATATAAATTACAATCTAGTACAAATGCAGTACGAATTTCTTACATAGAACTTGCCTTTACGTAGCGTTTCTGAAAAATATACTTTGTTCAAGTAATCCTCGATAACTCATTCAATGATTTTTTTTTTAGAAATCGAAAATTTATTTGTTTATCACATATATTGATATATACGTTCTATCAATTGATATTCTTAATCTTAATATTTGTGCCTTGTAAATAACTTTGAAAACAGACAAATTTTTAGAATTTTTTCTTGTTGGTCCAAAAAATCGATAGCAACTTATAAAAATTAACAAATCCTAAAATGCAATATCTTGAAAACGCTTGGAGATTTTTGAATAATTCAAAAAGTCGCTTATATAACATTTTTATTTTGCCATCGAACTGTGATACTCCTGATTTGTTGCTTTAACTCTTTCACTGAGAATGTAACTTAAATTTGCATACTCATATAGGAAACATGAAATATCACAATCTGTAGTAATAAATTAACTATAAAAACATGTTAAATAACAATATATAAACTATCGACTTGCATTGTTAACTATTTCATCCTTGAAATTTATATAAGTAGAAAGTATATCCTTGATGAATTAGTGAAAATTGGAAATCGAGATTACTATTCGATGGCAAATTAAAAATGTTTTTAGAACAACTTTTTGAATCATCAAAATATTTGCAATAGTTTTTATAAAATTGCATTTTTACACTTTACAAATTTTATAAGTTGCAAAAAATCAATATGGATCCTGCGAAATCAAAATGTTTAAAAATGCAATATCTCAGGAACCCTTTGAGATATTTTAGAAATTTAAAAAGTCGTTTATATAACACTTTTAATTTGCCATCGAACTGTCATACTCCTGATTTGCTGGTTTAACACTTGCACTGAGAACAAAATTTACGAGTACTTAATCCTTAAACCAAATCATAGACAATAAGGAGTTACAACTTCAAAATGTACCAAAAAATTATATTTAACCCCAGATTACTTAAAACCAAAAGATTGGTACAAATAATTAGTTTTTATTGTGTTTTTTGGACTAAAATACAAAATGCCTTCGCA